ACTGTTTCGGGGTGTTTTATTTCATATTAAGCAAAAGTAAAAAAAATAAAACAGGTATTTCAGCAAAAATATTTAAATGAAAAACCATAAACAAAGCAAAAAAATATTGAGTTATTTGGTATTTAAACAGTTTTTGCATTTTATTTTTCTTATTGGAAAATATGAGCAGTGTCGATACTTTCAAATTTGTGTCAGTACACTCTTACGTATGCAACATTATTGATAATTATAAACACTTTTTGGAACTTAGGACCTCCACGAAGTCACTAGTACTAAACAATAAGACCTCTTCAAATGATCAGTTTTCACGAGAACAATTATAAAATTCACTTGAATTTATAGATCACCTCTTGATATTTTACCAAATAAATTTTTTTTATGCGTTGTTATTCATTTGAAATCCTAATTGAATACTTTAAATGTAAAAAAATTGTTTATTTTACTGTGAAAATAAATTGCAAACACAACGATAGACTACTACTATTGTTACTATTTGTTAATTATTTTTTATTTTATTTTTTTTTATTTTATCCCTAACTGAAAACGGAGTTCTACAATCGTATTCCGTAAAACGTTTCGCCTATCAGAAGAATCGTTCATGTGTGGACGATTACGTCAAGAAAGCGTGTTATCTATCTTAACACCTCTCCGTGTACCTCCTACGTTTTAACGTAATGACACGAAAGCAAAAGTCAGAATGGCGTTACCATATAAAAAATCAAACAGTTCTGCTATGTATTTTGAACATTTTTTTTGGTAGGCAACACCTCAGAAGAGAAGAATAAATAACATCAACAGAGCTGAAAGATTTGGTGCTACGACGAGAGGGAAGGAAACAACATGGACTGGTTTCTTCCAGTAGTAGAGATTAGGCTTATTATTTTTTTATTTCTTAACAAATGTTTTCTTTTACAGAATACCTTGCAAATACAAGTATATATTGCACTTGCATTATCGGTCCTTCTAGCAATCAGTTAATTCCATTTAAGCCGATCGTCCTTATAAAGGACACCAACAAACTTTGGTTTTGTCTATCTAATAAAAAATCATCAAAAACACGATCAAATCGTTTTACAAAATGAAGCTGTTAATATCACTATTGATTAACGTTTCAAATACTTTTAAGTCCATTAAATCTTGTGCGATAACATAATGGGTCAAAAAACTTAAATGGAACCTAAGGATCGCCCCTGTATGACCTCACCTATTTTTCACTATTGTTTTTTTTAAAGTTATGTAGAATGTTTTTAATTGAATCAAAATAAAGATGGATTTAAATTACAAATAATAGAATATACTTTTTATTTAAACATCTTAATTTTTGTATTATATTATTTTTTATAATGATTAATAAAATATTGATTCTTTTAATATAAATTTTCTTAAAATTTTTCAATTAAATTTTTTTCTTTTAATTTTAAAAAAATTTTAAAAAATTTTAAAAAATAGTTTTAGTATTATGATATGTATACACATATAACAATACCTATATAGTAAAGATGTGGAATTTATTGCTTAAAAAATTTAATATAATTAAATAACATCATCGAAAGGTAAATAATGACTAAATTTAAAAATATTGAATGTCTCCGACAATTATGAGTTCAATAAAATTTATTTTCAATTAATTTTTTCCGTTTTCTTTGATCAGACAAAAAGTATATTCAACTCTAAAATATTTTATCAAAAAAAATGTGAGTAAATTAATAATATGATAAGCTATTAATACATTGTGGTCCGTCAAAAGTGCACATACTCTTCAAAAAATCAAACGGTCTACATATTATATATATAAAATATATATTATGTGTATGATCTCATACGTAAAATGTAAGGTTTTGCCAATCAGTGCTAATTTAAACATAGTGAATGGAATGCAGTAGTCAATTATCATATGTACACATAGAGGTATATTAATACAAACAACTACAAAAAGTATACCCAATTTATATAAGATAATCTAACGAATCAAATGTTACCAACATTTACTATTGACTCAATTGCACATTAAATAAATAAACTAAAACTTACTTAAACCAATGCAATTATTCCTGGAAATTAACATGAGTTCTTTAAACATTTAATCATCCATTAATAATTATTATTATAAGCATTCGATCCAGTAAATTGATCCGAAACAGCATTTGTAAAAATAAACGTTGCACAACATCTGCGGACATTTATACTTGCGATAAATCTTGAAAATATGGTAAAGGAAAGCAGTAGGATCCCAAAAAATCAAAATACAAAAATCGAAAATATAGTTGAAAGCAATATTGTAATCGAAATTTTGTAATAATATTAATATAATTATTAATTATTAATATAACTAATAATTATTAATTAATTATTAATTATTATTAATACAATTAATAATTATTAATTATTAAAAATTAATAATTATATCTTATACTGCTCTTGAATAAAGATTTCCAAATTTGAAGGAACCCACAATCTACATTACGTAGTGAAAGTATTCTAAAACGATTCAATTGATCAATGGATTAAAAATAATTGCAGTCCGGGAAATATTAGATAGCTTTTAGTGACTAGGGTGGACAAGCTCATAATTACAATATATCTGCATTATGTCAAACTATTACGAGGAAAATAGAATATATAATCTTTTGAATTTATAAAACTAAACGAGTTTATATTTTAATATCTTTCAAATAATATGATTATTCAAGGTTTATACATAAAATAAACGATTGTTTGTGTTAGCAATGACTTAATTGTTAAAACCAGTTCTCTGATATACTGTTGAAAAGAATAAGGGTGCTATTCCTATTTAATAATGAATTAAAAGCATCAGAAATATGAATTGACAATTTAAATAATTAATAATTTTATAATTCATTATTAAAAAAATAGTATTAAACCCCTACTTGTTTTTGCACATTTCTTTCAAAATAGAAAGAAATGAGAAGAACATGATAAAAATTCATAACCCAACAAATGTAAAGTATCCATATGGAACGATAATAGGGTTAGGTCTGATTGGCGTAACGGCCTTATGGACCAAATTTTACTTGAGCACAAATGTTAGCTCGTTGTGATATCATAAAAAAACGTTATTCATATAACAGATCATGAAAATCACCAAAATAAAAGATGTGCAGATCTAAGCTACCAATGCACTATTATTATTGAAGAAAACCACAAATTTCTCATTTAAGTAAAAGTGGGCCAACCTGAAAAATATATAAACTTGGGTATGTCCTTAATGTTAAAGGAAGATAGCTTCGTCAACTCAGTAAAAAAAATTAATCTAAAAGATGTTTAGCTCTCTATTGGGAAAAGATGGTACTGCCACATAAAGTGAAACACAGTTTCACAGTTTTACTCCTCCTCTGAAAAACTACAACCACCACAAAGCTTTGACAATGACGTATATTGTGGAACCTAGTTGAAGAAGCTGTCTGGTGAGCTCTTGTCAAAACTGCGCTAAGTCAATTTTGAGACCTGACAAGAATTGTAACCTACCCTTGCTCTTTAAATTACTTCTATGTATTTAAGTTTAACAACTAATTTAGCCATTGCAGCTGGGATGTCAATATTCAGATGTATAACCCAACGAGCATCAGGTCTGTTTTAGCAAGTTCACCTATCTTGCAGTCACCTGAGATGTGTCTGTGTCAAGATGCTAATATGAATTGGACACTGATAAATCTGATCAACTCTTTGAAAATAGCCTACCATAGTCGAACTGTTAAAGGTGAAATTGTAGCGGTTACTGGAGTTTTAATAGCAGGTTGCTTATCCAAGAAGATTGCGATCTATAAATACGAATTCTTGTTTCACAAGACTTATTTTAATGCATACTAAATTGCCATTACTTCTGCCTCAAGGCTTCTACAATGGTTTAAAGGTCAAAGAATTTTGATCAAACTTGCATCTAGGTTATACTTGAGAGGAATTGTGATCGTATGAAGAGAAATTAAATAGGATGTGGTTAGTTTCATAGTTATTATGAAGGGAAATTAAATAGGATGTGGTTAGTTTCAGAAATATTTTTTAGAGCTTTTTGATTAAAAAGTTATTTTTCTTTAATAAAGGCAGAAATAATTTCTTTTTACCTTTTTAAATACAAATATGTGTCACTATACACAGAACCACTTATCTTCTGTCGGGGATTTTTAATACATTTTATTTTTAATGATATATTTCCTAAAAATATTATCGTAAATTATTTACACTGACTTACGTAACCCAGAAAGGAACTTTATAAATAGAAAAAATATAGAAAAAATATAGAAAAAATATAATAAAAAAATAAAAATAATAAAGAAAATATAATAAAAAAATATATAATTGAAATGTAAAAAGTGATGATTAGATGGAATTACAGCGGTAGGAATGTGAATGACCATGTTTCAAGTGCATGCTTATTCCGTTAACTTTATTGATGAATGACAACTGCGCAACAGAATATCATTTCTACAAATGTTTCAAATACACGTTTAACCGCACTTTATCTACACTTGTACTCCACAGACCCAACAATGTAATTTTGGGTATTTAACTAGAAATACAAGCCAGACGAATGCGCTTATGAAATTGAATGCGCATATCTTTCTAATGATACGAGGCATACGAGCCATACGAGGCATACGTAACGCACGTACAATAAGCAAGAATATGAAATTTAATCGTTGTACAAATATTTGATGATTATCATTATAAATTAGCAAATATTATAAATAAAATAAATAATAAAAAATTGTTAAACACAAAATATCAGCTTTTAAATTCGCAGTTATAAAACAAAGCAGAATAAGTTCTGCTCACGTATCGCTTATCAGAAAACCAAGCATTCTCAGCAGATATCAGTAACTCCAACTCAGACTGTACATTTGGGAACTTGCAAAAATTTAAAAAGTGAAACCATAAAGCAGATACTATTTTTGCAATGTTCCGGTGTTGTTTAGTATTAATGAAATTTCATAGTTCTTGAGATATTAAATTTAATAAAATATGTTTACAATATGTTTATAAGAAAATATAGTGAATTCGTTAATCAATTTCTCAGTCTCAATATCACGTCCTAAGCACATTAAATTTACAATGAGTCAGAAGAAAGAAACAAATGTACTAAAATATATACATTGTCTCATCTGGAACAAGTCGAAGAAGTAAATAACAAAAAATCTATTATATATTTGAAAGATATTAATTATAATAAATGTACAAATGTGTAATAAGTAATTTTTATATATCAACACAACTTTAATATTTGAGATTATTTTCAGGAACTATCTTAGCAGTACAAATAATACATATAATTCGTAATGGAAAATAATTCATCTTATAAAGTGATAAGAATATATGAATAAAAGAATATACGATAAAAGAAAAAACATACATGTATATAATGAAAAATATTGAAATTAGTATGAAGAAACAAAATATTTATTATTTACAGCCAGGCTTTAATCATTTAATGATTATTGTCAATGTTATATATATAAAATTTTTAAGATTCTGTTCAGCAAAATCTTTCAATAGTAGCATTGTACAGCTTATTATAAAAATATAGGCAATGAGGTCATTATATATACGGGGATTGTTTGAGATCGTACAACTCCTGTGGTAACAACTACATTCAATAAATCTTAAAATAATTTTGTAACATGTCGGGCAATAATTTTAATCTTAATTAAAGATTATATATCTGATATTTAAACTTCTCTTAGTTTGAAAACGACTCAACGCAGTTTTCTTTAAAAAAAAAAATTATATATTTTAAAACAAAAAAAACGTATAAATGATTCAAAAACGGTTTAGCGAATTTAGGAGTGATCACATAACGTCTAAATTAAATAAAAACTACAGATATTGGGAATAAAATTCATAAAAGGGAAATATTAAAAAATTATTAGAAAGATTGACGATGGATTGAAATCGATTTACTCACTCTGAAATCACATAAAAACCAGTGTTCCAAGAAAATTTTTTCTATACCCTATAATCCGGAAACGAAAGAGCAGTCAAAGCAGTAGCTTGAGGCTCGTTAAAATAGACGATGAGACTTCAATCAACAGGAAAGGTGTTTTTGAGATGTATATGACGTAATTATGATTAACAACATCGAAAAAAACAAAAGAATAACAGTACAATATTATGCGATCCTTTAAAGTAAAATTAAAGAAAATTAATGTTATTTTACCATCACAACGTGTTAGCCCATTTGAGAGAAATTGTATACAAACAAAATAGGTCGAATTGTGTTATGAAGTGCCACCACATCTAGCATATATACCAAAGTTGTCTACATTCAATTTTAATTGATTTTTAATTCAAACAATGGTTTGTGGTGAAGGAATCAAATCTATCGGACGTTATCACTGCACCTAATAAATATTTCGAAGACCTCTACTAATCATACTTTGCTAGAAATTTGCGGACTAGGTCGAAAAAATTTTGATGTAAGTAAAAAAGTCATTGGATATTCACTCCAAACCAAGCATAGATATAAAAGCTACCAATAGGAAAGGAAAAAGAAACAACTAAACGCTTTCTTTACAGCGACATTGAGACATTCTACTATTAAAGCCTATGCTTGATTAAAATCTCAACTAAAATTTAGAATTATATATATACAACTTAGACGCTAGATGCTTACAAATTTGAGTGACTATTTAAAAAGATCAATAAGATTGTAATATAGAAAAGTTGAATATATTTCATATATTTATTATATTTCTATAACTTGTACCTTAAAGAAATACTGAAATAAATGTTACAATTACCTACCTTATATTGATTGGAAGTTAGAAAATGGGAAGATAGAATTTTTAATAATGTTTTAGGTAGACAGTAACGTATAACTAGCTAATAGGATGTGAACCATATTGAAACCATAGCATGCTACAAAAGACTCATAAGATGGTATTTCTATAGTTTTTACCATTTCTAACAATTTTTTTAATATTATAGTAAAATCTCCAGATCTTCAAAACAAAGTTATATTAATATTATTCAATAACTTCAAAAGAAAATACTTAGAAACATGAAAAATGTACGTGCCACTAATTTTGGTGTATCAATCGTAAAATAGTAAACTGGGCTAACAGTCTAGTTAAATAACAGAAAAGTGTATTAAATACGCCCAGAAAGAAAGAAGACCGAAGCGCATGATATCCGATATAGGAATATATGTATTATATGTTTCAAATAAATAAAATACATATAACATATATAACAGAGTTCGTATTTGCGTACCCATGAGCGGCTCATTTCGGCTCATTCTGCTCACGGCTCATGAACCGGCAAAAAAACTCTTTTCATACGATGGCTCTCGCTCACGAGCGAGCCCAACTGCAAAGCTCACGCTCACGAGCAAGAGCCACCATTTAGTTATAAATGGGCTCACGCTCGTGAGCAAGAGTATGAGCTGCGGGTCACGGGATCTCATGCGCCCAATTTAAGATATTGCTATTATTTTTTTTTGTGAAAACATGTCATTAAAAAAGACACTAACTAAAATAACTAAAATATGGAAATAATCAAAGTTCCTAAAATAAACAATAAATATATTTTTATTGTTTATTTGTGGAAAATAATATTTTTAAATTTGTTTTTCAAATTCAAATTATTGTTTCATTATATTGTTTTAATATGAAATTATATATTTTCACATATAACGTTTATAAAAATAAATAAAGCAAATAAACTAATAAATCGCTTTTTATTAAACACGTGAGCTCGTGAGCTCTCAGCTCGTGAGACCTCATGAGAATCTCTTCAATATGAGTAACTTAAAGGTTCAAGCTGGTGAGCAGCTCTTCAATATGAGCCAAATATGGACTCACGCTCATGAGCCAACTTTGGGCTCACATAAGAATTGGCTCTTGCTCATGAGCCTGAACTGCTCATGAGTTAGCAAATACAAACCCTGATATATACTATGAATAGATCATAGTTAAGTATAACAATTCTAAGGAAGAAATGTGTTAGTCTATATAAAAGGCACTAATTGAAAAATATTAAGCAAGACTATGAAATCTAAACTAATTAATTCTTGCATTATTCACATCTTGTGCAATATATACAATAGAATACATATATTATTTTATATGATATGTGTATATTTATGTAAACAATATAAAACATTTAAAAATAGAAATACAAATATTAAATTTTTCTTTTGTGTTAATAAACAAAACTTGTTGTGTTAAAATTCTTACCTAAATCTCAGACTTGCACATACATTTGCTGTGCTGTTAATTGTTCCTTAATTTATTATTTAATTCAATAATAAATATATATATATTTAGGAATAAAATTTGCATATGACTGTATATATTTATACTTATATTTGATGTAAATGACTACATAGAGTATTATATTATCTAAGTTAGTATAATTAAAACAAACTCATTTGGTATTAAAATGTCCATCAAATAAAATCAAATGTGTCAGACAGCTTTGAGTTGATTCCAGAAGTCAAATATACTTAAATTTGTAGGCGCATAAATAATAAATGGCTTATTTAGTTAATTACTAATAGACAAGTGGAAATAATTGGAAATAAAAAATTATCTGTTAAATTATTTTTGTAATTAACAAACATGAATCATCATATTATACTCGTAGTAGTTTTAATGTTTAAAAATGTCTGAACATAAATATATATGTATAAGCAGGCGCGTAGCCAGACTGAAAGAGAGATTGAAGCCAACACCCCGAAATGAACTAGAGGATTATATTTATACATATGTATATTTAGTATTGTTTCATGGTTGTTTCATAAGAGAAAAATTTTTTACTGAATTATCTTAACGTAGTAATGTTTGACAATACATATAGAATTTTAGAGCCCATACCAATTTTTAAATTATTTCACCAAAAGCTCAATGAAGGTAAAACTAAAGTTGAAGGTACACTTTGCATTACAACAAACTTTCATATATATATATGGTTTTTGAATAATTAAACGTTTGTCTTAGATACTCCATTTTGACTATATTAAACACCTCACCTAAGCTAGACTAAACTGTAGGTATGAAGCTAATTGTCAACAACAACTAGCAACTACAATATGTCAGTAGACTGAGTATGAACATAATAATATTTGACCGAATACTAGAACATGAAACATTTGACGATAACAAAACAACTACCAAGATAACTATATTTCATGCCTTAACTATCTTCATAGAACCCAAGCTTTTCACTTCCACTGCATCAGCATTTTGAAATATTAAATATAAAATGCGAAAGCAGAAACTGATATGAAAAATTTAATGGAATCCAAATAACTCCCTCTCGTCAACAACAAAAATACTGACAATTTTCTTATTATAAATATATATCAACTAAAAGGAATCACTGGTTTTTTAACTAAGCACGCTCCAATTAGCTACCCTTTTTTAAAGATGCAAATCGAGCATGAAATGTCGAATGAAAATTTCGCCAATCTTATGTGCTTATATTCTAGGATTATCAGAAAACGAATCCTGGACATTATTTTAACTCTCATTCCTTGTAACGCTTTGCCACTTCCACTAATTTTAACTGAATCGGAAAAAAAAGAACTTGCTGTAACCCACACAATGATCCCAGAATCAACAGACTGTGATGTGTCACTATTCTTAGATACATATATTCTTATATCAGAAAAATATATTAACACCGTTATTAATGAATTTTTAATAAGAACGATTATTAGACCTAGTATTATATGAATACTAGACCATCTAATTAAATCCACATATAAGATCTTTATGATATATAACTTATACACAGAATTCATAAAAATTCCTTGAATTGTATTTAAGTTACTTAGACTATATTTTAAGTTAATAAACTTAAAGTATTTAACTTACTTAGCATTTCCGATTGCGTTTTCGTCGCCACATGTGCGCCCAATTTGAAAAGCGAAACTGCGCTCATGTTGATTATAGTTGAAGTTATTTCCATACGGAAATTGTTGCAAATGATTTTGTTGCTGTATATGTTGGTACATGATTGGTTGTTGTTGCTGTTGCATTTGTTGTTGTTGTTGTGGCTCTTGATGTTGGAACTGTGGTTGTTGCAACTGATGATTTTGTTGTGCCAGCACTTTATTTTCATCATTTAAATGTCCATCAGGATTTAAGCGTAACTGGTCGGCTGTCGTGGAATTAGCCTCTAAGTTACCATAGAACCCATTGTTGCGATGCATGACAGACTGCGCTTGACCATTCATAAATTCACTTTCAGTTGTACTTACAATCACAGACGGCGGTTGAACAGCACTTAGTATACCTGATTGTACAACATTCGTACTCATCAGGCCAGCATTGTTATAGTTCACAGGATTTGTGAACGATTGCTCTATGCTGTTCAAATTAGCGGCAGCAACAGCTTGTTGCAGTTGCTGCATTCTGCTGTTATTACGCTGCCTAGCCAATAAGCGGCAATCCTGCTTATGGGATGGCCAGTCTATGTGCTGATGCCCTGTGCAGCAATAGTAAACAGTCTTACATTTGGCACAACGCAACAATTGATCTTGTGTGCCACAAATGGCGCAACATGGAGGTGCCGGCATTCGGTGTTGACTTTGTTGTGTCATTATATGTGTTTCCATATTTTCTTTTTTTCTTTTAGTTATATTTTATATTTAATTTGTGTGTCAATAAGGTATAAGGTAGTCGTTTTTTGTTTTGTCCTTGTACTGCCCTCTTATGCATTTGTCATATTTTTTTTTTCGTACTTACGACTTTAACCTTGAAGTGGAAGCGGTCAGTCAGATTAGTGTGGACTTGCTCACTAACTTTGCTGTAGTAGTAGTAGCTGTTGTTGTTGTTGTTGTTGTTGTTGTAATTATTGCAGCTGTTTTCACACTTTTATTGTTGCAAGTGGTGAGGGGCAGGTTGATAACACTGTCAAAGCTATTAAACTTTACAGTTGATACTCAGTTAATTTCCGCAGTGCTTGTCAATTTTTGTTTGCTTTTCTCATTATTTTGTTGTTTTTTTCTGTTTTTTGTTAATCACGTAGGCCACTTTGTTTTGGTGCAGATTTTGTTGTTGTTGTTAAGCACGACGCTACGTTGCTAATCGTTTTCATTTCTACAAAACAATGTAAATAACAACAACAAATCGAAATTTCTTGTCGTTGTGCGTTTTTGTTGTTGCTGTGCTATTTTAGTTTTGTTTAAATAATGCAAAATTGTATTGAACGTATTTTCGCAAGCTTTCGATTCAAAAAAGGCAACAATCTTTTCACACACTTTATACGTCTCATATAAATCTATTTCAATTATTTACCGATAACCGTACTAGGTAAAAATTCAATTAATTAATAATAAAACAAGTAACTTTCTCGAAATATTGCTGGGAAACTATTTTGACAGCTCTAAAGGGTGAAATGCTCTGTTCCAACTGTCAAAAATAATAATTTCATCGAGACTCGATAAACATATTGAGATGCCACATGTCAGTTATTGAAAAGTAATGCCGCAGTTCAAAATGAATTTCTGTAGATAGATTTTATGTTACATGCAGTCAACAAATGTTTGTAAATCTTTATAAGTGCTTAATAAATTTATAATTTTATTTTGACTATTTTTTATATTAATATAATAGCAAGCTTACATTATCATAAATACGCACAAACTCTAAATGAATTTTATATTGCTGTTAATTGACAACTAGCAGTCAAACAACTAAAATTAAACTCTTTCTGAATTATTTAAAGTAATTTTTCTTACAAAAATTAATAATATGGTGGTTTTGATGGTGGTTTACAGTCTCAAAAAATTAAATTATAATTAAATGCAAGAAATAATTCCAATTCCATTTTTGATGAGTATTTGGCAATACTCGAAACAGCTGTATGGTCAACCAAAAACTCGATTAATTTATATACAATAAAAAATATTTCACTACTTCATTACTTTTAGAAACTTACCTATAAAAAATTTATGCAAATATATATTAGAGATTACCAGTATAAGAGATCGAATCCTAACATATAAAAATTTTTTAATATATTAAAAAATGCAACTTATTTTTTAAATGTAAATTATATTGTTTAAATAAGACTAAATAAAATTAAAATTTTAATTATATTCTGTGGAAAAAAATATTTTCAACTTTTTCACCGCTATTATTGCTTTTTGTGAGTTATTTTTTCTAGTTACACAATACAGAATACTACTATTATAATTTATTCGTGTTATTGTGTTTAGCTTTGTCCATTCAAGGCAAGCATAAAAAAAAACTCACCTTATGGTCTATTCACACAGTACAAATAATTGAATTTTTGTTCCTATGGAAATTTTTAGTTATCATGCGCACATTTGTATCATATTTTTCATTAATGAATCATATAAATGTTTATATAATATCAAAATATGTTTTAAATATAATTCTATAACTATTATAGTTTTACTAAAGATGTTCGTTTTCTCTACAAATTTCTATTTTAGAATAATTCAACATATGTAATATGTTAGTCCAATTTTTGGATAGTGAGTTTCCCATCATCGATATTGTTACATGAAAATAATCACACCAATTAGTAACTTACCATGCCCAACACATTGTTGCCGGTTTGTTGTTTAAGCTAGATAATGATTTTGTTCAATTGTAGTTTGGAACTTTAATATATTTAAAACCTTAAAACTAAAATAAAAATATTAGAAAATAAACTTCTAATATTCCTTAAAAATGTTTGACTACCGTGCCAGAGCTGTGCTTTTGGATATAGAAGGAACAACAACATCTATAAGCTTTGTTAAGGTAACAATGCACAGCATTTTAAAATAATTTTTATAGAGTATTTATTCTTAACAAATATGTATTTCATTTAAAAGGATGAATTATTTCCATATGCAATAGAACATGCCAAAGAATTTTTAGATGAGACTTGGGAGGACGCCACCACAAAAGAAGTGGTTAATAACTTACAAGTCTTAAACGAATTCAATGAGTTCAAACAGAACACGAATGAAGATTCCCTTGACATTTCTTCAAAAATAATAGCAGATTTTGTCAAATATTTAACCGATTTGGATCTTAAACTTGGGCCATTTAAAACGTTACAAGGCATGATCTGGAAAAAAGGCTATGAAGATGGCAAACTAAAAGGCCAGTAAGTGTATAATACAAATTAATGGAATAAGCATAAATATATTGAATTAATATATTGTTTCTAGTCTATTTGATGATTGCTTTAGCGCATTTTTTAATTGGAACTCAGTGGACTTGAACGTGGCAATTTATTCCAGCGGTAGTGTTGCTGCACAAAAATTACTTTTTAGTCATTCGGTGAGTGGAGATCTATCACCAGTAATAAGTCATTATTTTGATACAACAATTGGTAACAAACGAGTACCAGAGTCGTATATTCAGATTGCCAAAGAGATGGGTTTGGTTATACGTGAGATTGTATTTTTAACTGATGTTTGGGAAGGTGAATAAAATATTTTTTATATATAAGAGTATAATAATGTACTAACGTTTATTTTATATTAGAAGCTAAAGCTGCAAAGCAAGCCGGAATGCAGGTAATCATTATGTTGCGTCCTGGAAATGCACCTTTGACTGAACAGCAGCTGAAAGGTTTTGATACAGCAACGAATTTTCTTGAATTTAAAATTTTTCCATAAAAGAGTGTTTAATTATTAGCATACATAATTATAAAATGCGTAAATTATACACAAATTATACTTTTAACTTTAATTATAATTTAAAAGTTTGTGTAAAATAAATTAAAAAGTATTTTTTATACAAACAAAATTTTATGCATAATAAAATTTTGCACTAAAGTTGTATAAATGTGCAATATATATAATATACCATATGTACGATATTTTATATAACAGAAATTGTTTTAAACATTTAATATTTATTTGTAGGGCATACAATTATGTATTCTAAAAATTGTTGCTTTTTTTGAAATAATGTTTTTACAATTGAGCTCTATCTGAACTTGATAGCTCCTCACAGCTTTCACTAAAATGTGCCGCAAACAATTCAGGTGTCAAATATGTAAATGGTCTGGTAGTACGTCTTCCTTCGTTTGGAGGTTGAGATGCTGCGGTGTAACTAGCTGCGCATATTTTACAAAATAGTGGTAAATTAGTCTCGCTGCCGCTGCTACCGTTTACCTTGTGTTTCTTGCAGCTTTTGCTACGTTTCAATTTCTGTTTGAATTTTGCATCGTCAACGCGGCAAGTGTGTGATACTTTGCCAACCGTTGGACCCCAATGTGTTTTACCTTCTAATAAAAGCGGCGCCGTTTTCACTCTCATTCTCATTTGCGCTAAATGTTTCTCATATGCGCGCTGTTGGAATTCCTGTTCAGCCTTGCGTGTGGCTAAACGCATGTTGAGTATTTCTTTGTGAGATTCGCTATAAGAATTAAGTAATATGTTAAAGTATTTGGGATATGTATTGTATTTTAATATGCAAATATTTGTAAGTTTTCTTTAAGTATTATTGAGTTATGTATAAAAGATATTGAAATATTAAATGTTTATTTCATATTTAGAAACTATGATGAAGTTCAGTCTTAACATATTGTCCGAAAAAAGGGTAGATTTTCTTATAGAAAGTGATGTCTTGACTAAAGGCGCAGTTTTTCCAAACGCTATAAATCTAATAGATTTGATTGAATTTGAATAAAAATCTTGGTATTTAATTGATTTTCAAATGCATTTATGAAGCCATTTCATCTTGTCTGACATTTTTTATATAAGTATATTAGAATTAAATCAAGTTCATTGAGTTATAAATGCAAAGAAAGTGACTATGTATTGCAAGGCTATCCAGTCAGATACGATCGTGGGCCAATACCAATAACTATACAGATTGGAGGGCCGTAAAAACAAATATATACATTCATAGTTCATAATTGTTTTTGAAAAAAATAAAAACACTTGTGTTAAATTTAGTTTTATTAATTTATCAAATAAAATTCATTTACTTGGTGATTTTACCAGTACACCAAAAGAAAATTCGCGTAATTGTAGTAGATTAAAAACATGTCGTGAGCCGCACAAATATTAGCCGTGGGCCGTGCTTTGGACAGCCCTGATATATTGTATTCGTAAGTAGTGTTAAGTGTTCTGCATATGTTAAGCATGGGGTGTGGATGGGTATTACTTATAATACTAAATTCAAAAACTAATAAAAATTAACCGCTCTAAGTTAATTATTTATTTTCCAAATATGAAACCTTAATCCCTGTCTTCCAAGATTAAAATACTGCAATGTTAAGAATCTACATTTATTTACAAAAAAGGAGCGAGGTGGCATAAGAGTGTTAATAATTTAATACTCAAGTTCATGTTTTTTGTTCATATATAATCTGAGTAATCTAAATAATGGAGTTTGGTCCACTGATTCTGAAATTGCTTGAAACTATAACTAAAATCATTAAGAAGGCAGATAATATGTTGAGTTTGTGATAAAGGTTTTGGTTCACACTGATAACATAGAATATTTTCTATCCTATGTCATGGCTACTGGAGAGAGAAAGTAAAGACTCCTACAATAAATTCTCCTGATGAAGACAAAAGCGAATTTGCCGAAATACGTATAGAAATATGTATACAAAAAATTAATGCTGGAAATAAAAGTTAATATTCTTAAAAAAATAAAAAACAAAACCGACTTTAAACTTATTAGAGATCAAATAGCAACGACGGAAAGTAGAAAACATATGTCATAAGCACTGACAATTTAAGAACAAAATATGCAACAAAAGAGGAAAAACAAGGTATCTTTTAACTTTAACAAGAAGCAATATACATATATGTGTTTACACCTTTCATCACTGTACATTGTTTAATAGTATATCTTTTCCGATATAGAGATGGCATTATTGGTGATTTCTGAAACTGCTGTTTTCCGCTAATACTAAATGGAAATGGACCGAGAAGATATATTTTTATTTCTTCAATAAGGATATTACAAATAATAGTAAACCTATGGTGTTCCCTATTATATTGAGATGATAAATTTCATATTTAGAGTAGTTCTAAATTCAGTTTTTTTTATTATTTCTGTTTTAGAGAAGACTTATGTAAATGAGATAAAATATCTATATTACAAGTAAGTTTATAATACATATTATATTTAATTTCAAACATTGTTTCAAACAATTACAGCCTCGGCCGTGGACATTTATATGATAAGTTACATACAAGTATAATATTATCTTAGATACATAGATATTAGATACAAACTTACTTGTAGGATAAGGACTTCCAAGCTGGAGTTTTACGTACTCCCCAATCGTAAGGTGGTGGGCTCGGTATTGGGTTGTCATAAGTAGCCAATTCTTCTAGTTTTTTTTTAGCAACCTCAGCACGCAATGTAGCAGCAAGATTCTGTCTAGCTACTGGATATATTATTGCCGGATAATGAATCTATTAAAAAAAAAGAATTGTATGTGCTTGTTCTGACTTTAATAAATTCTTGTCCTTTACCTTTGATTTGTTTAAAGTCGAAGTGTTACACATAGGAAATGTTTGCTCTTGTGTTAGGTTCTTCGTGTCTACATTAGCTTTAAGATTTGCAATATTTAAGACATCTGTATTGCTACTGACTTTAGAAACTGGTGTTAAATTAATTACAGGAGTTTCAATTATAGTAGGTGTAGTAGTCATTGATATTTCATTCGAAGTAGTTGGATTAGTTTTAGGTTCTCTAATTAAAAAAAAATGAAGGTGTATATTTATACAAAAAATTTATATTTTTGGGATTTAAACATAACACTAAAGAAACTAATTTTAAACATTGTTTCGAACACTAAGTGCGGAGGTCGACAATTTAAATTTTCTTTATAAGCTCTATAAGATCTCTATGTAGTAAAATGACATATTTCTCACAGTAGAGACTGTGAATGGTTTGTACATTTATAACAATATTCTCATGTTGAGAACTTTTCCTTAATTTATTGATTATTGCACTGGATTTTAATAAACTGGGTTTTCTGACCGGTGATAACATAACAAATATTTACAATAAGTAGATTATACTAACTAATCCATTAATTAGTATTTTATCATTTCCCAACAACAGAATTAGCAGTGAGAGTCTCGAAGTTTTCTCCAATCTAAAATTAGCCATCTTAATTTATGTCTGGAGAAATTATCCAATTAATTGTCAAAACAATTATTAAATAACCATTTATACATGACAATAATACGAATTTATTTCTTAATAAAGAAGCGTTTCAGACAAGAACATGACCTAGAAAAATATGGTGTCAGTTCAGATAATCTAAAAATGGACAGATTGAGAAATTTGAGGCATGTTCCCCCAAATAGTGTTGGATGACATTAATACAGGAACTATATTACTTTTATTAGTATGTATAAATGTGCAATTCGAAAATATTTATATAAATAACTGTTTATTTAGTTACTTACATAATTCTATTTTCTTCCTTAAGTTTTTCACTGCATACTTTCGTTTCTTCCCTATTGTTTCCATTACTCAAATTCATTGGCTGTATTAAGTGCGCATGCGGTTCTGGTGAACATATCGCTTTAAAGATTTCCTTTTCTGCTGTTTCAATAGGATCCTCATTCCATATCCATCGGTAATTACCGATATCATTAGCAGAAAATGATTTTTTCAAACGTTCTCGATATGAACATAAATCATTTGTAGAAACTGTTTGTTCATTAATTTCAGATATATTAAACGATCTTGGTCTGGTAAGTTCCAATTCTAGCTCCCTAAGTGTTTTTTTGAAAGCTTGAACTTCAGCTTGGAATTCTTTTCGACAACTGAAATGATAATAATTGAAATTTTTTACAGATTTAATTATAAATTAAGGTACGTTTATTTGATACTTCTGAAATGTTGCTGTCTCCGCATCGATGTCATCTTGAAAAAATGGTGGATGCTGTAATTTCTCTTTTAGTTTAAACTCAGCATATGTTGTAGATTTTCTTTGGCACTGTTTTCCATTAATAGTTATCGTTGGCTTTCTTTGGTAAACTTTTGAACGTATATGAGCGTATGGTTTCTTTTGAAAAGTCCTAGTACAAGTCGTTGGTGAAAGTGTATTAGGTTTTTGACAGGTAAATGCTGCAGAGTTATTAGGTCGTAGACAAGCAGATGGTGTAGATATATTCGATTTTGTATTGGTTGTTGTTATTGCGGTATTTGGTTTTTTCTGGACCGTTTTTATATTGATAATAGGTGTCGGTCTCTTTTTAGTTATTTGTTTAGCATTGCAATTTGTGGACATGCCCGTATTATGATTTTCAATATATTCCGACGTATTTGGTTCATTGGTT